TTCCTACATGGACAGAAGGGGCTTTTCCATCAATGTAGGTAATCCTCCTCTCCAAAAGGCAGTGGAAGAATTCTTCTGTCGATCGAGCTGCATCTACAGTGGTGGTTAGGTCAACCTAACAAGTCACACGGGGCATAACATTTTTCACAGCCGAGTCAATCTAATGTTTAGCTGTAGACCAGGCCTTAGTTTCCCTGAGTCTTGGTCAGCATTTCAGGCAAGTCAGCATTTTTATGTCAATAACTGAAGACAATAAAGAACACTCACTGTGGCATGTGGTTGCCTGGGGTGAGGTGAAATGGGTCTAAAAATAAAGGTGTCCCTAAAGTTTTAGAAAAGCGGAAATTTGTGTATAATTATTTTGGAATAAGTTAGTCACAAAGTGTGGGGGATGGGTGCTATTTTATGCAGATAGGACATTGGGCAGGAGGTGAGATGGGTTTTATATACACAGCACTTTTAAGTTAAAACTTTTCCAGACATTAGTTTTCTGCCTGAAGTTGTCAAAGGGACTGGGATTTGTTTATATATTTCAGGCTTTTGTAATAAATTGTGCAGAAAATTATGTAATGAAACAAAAAACAACCTCAAAAGAAAGCAAATGTATGATGATGTCTTTTGCTCCCAGGGAAACAAGTAAGACCTTGTGGTCCCCCTTTTTTCTCAGGGAGGAAGTGAGGGAATGAAAGGGAAAGCACAGACGTTTTGACAAACCCACCAATATATCTTCCAGGGCCTCTAAGTCACTCCTGGTAATTGTCTAACCATACTGTATTTGCAGCTTGAGCCTCTGTTTGACATGATGCCCTCTGTGTTCCTCTAATGATACAGCTTCGCGGAACACAAAACAGACTAGCTCATCAATTACCATTGGGGCCCTAAAATCAGACACACACAAAACCACACAATTTATATTGCTATCACTCAAGACTCACCGCAAAACTGATCGCAAGGCAGGCTTTTCAGACAAGCTTACACCGAAATGTACGAATTATGTTCCTGATGATCTTCACATAAGGAGAGTGTAAAATGAAATCTGTCTTTGATTTTAAGTCATGGGGCCTGACTAATTTTACACCAGTGTAACTCTGTTGGGCCCCATTCTCTGTTGTCCTGTACCACTGCAACGTGAGTGGACATTGTCATTAATCTGATGTGACAGTGTTTTACACCCACTCGCATCTGCTTTGCACGAATGCAAAGGACTGTGCAAAATGCAGGGAAATGGAGAAACTGGTTCATTGACTTCAATGGATTTACTCCTCATTCTCAAATAGTGTTCAAAACACAAATGTTGCTTTAAATGCAGGTTCTCCTGCCCCATTCTTGAGAGTGTTTACCTTTGATGGCAATCCAATCAAACTGCACCCATATTTACATTTTAAAGGCTTTTACATATAATTAGATTAATAAAGCCATGTTGCATTTGCCTAAGATTCTAGCTATATTTTTATTCATAAGATACATTTTTTCAAATATACCAACATGCTGCCAACAAATATCTGGAACAAGAACATTCCCTGAAAAGTTTCTGGGACGGCTAAAGGGGTTTTTTGTGACTTTGATTTATTGGCTGCGTAAGCTAATTTATTTATTTGTATCTGATTATTTAGTGCTGATCGGTTATCATAATTATGTGATTGTAAGTCTAATTAATTTTTAGGGCACATAGGTATTTATTATCATTTAAATAATATAATACATTAATTACCACCTGTCATAATAAAATTCTACATGCTAGGGTAACATCCTCATACATAATAACAAAAACATCCAGGAAAACTAATATACCTCAGGCAAAAGTCGGAGTGAACAGATGGGTTTTACACCATGCCCTGAAGGTTGATAATTTGAGATTCTATCAGACTACTGGGGGGAGTATATTCCAAAGTCAAAGATTCTCCATGGAAAACTCTCCATTCCCCACCCCCACCATTCAAACCTAGGGACTACTAGCGAGAATGCTTCAGATCAACACAACTGCCAGATGGGCACAGAGAATGAGACAGCTTCTCCCGTGTCTAGCACCGCAGCCATGCAAGGTTGTTCAAATTAGAATTATTTATTGGGGGGGGGGGTCGCACACTTTGTTGCTTCTATAGGCCTAGCTCATTGCACACACCGGGAGCTCTTTGCATACCTCCAATCCCCAAGCTCCCCTGTTTGCCACCCTCCTAAGCCCCCCTGTTTCAGGGACTTGCTGCAAACGTCCTCCCTCATGCCAGGCACTCTGTGCCACATTCCTCCCTTCTCCCTTTCCCAGGGTCCTTCATTGTCCTTCCCATGCCAGAGGCTCTGGATACCTCCTTTCCTCCATGCCAGGGGCTCTGTGTTCCCCTGTTCCTCCATGCCAGGGCCCCTCCTTCTTCCCCCCATGCCAGGGGCTCTGTGTGCCTCCCTTCGCCCCTTCCCCACCCTTATTCTTTCTCCTTCCAGTTCTTCACTTTCCCCCAAAATCGGTAGGACTCTGCCACTGATGCCTTGGATAATCCTGACATTTTGGAACTGATCAGATGCAGCATTTGAAAGTTGTCACATGACAGACAGACAGACAAATGTCCAAGCAGAGACATACGATCAGGTTGAGTGTAGGGCCTTACAAGCTCAGCCAAGTATTTGTCAAGTGCTAACCACGTTGCTGATGTTGAAATTAGAACCTGTTTAGCACTTATGTTCTAACTGCATGTTGTCCTGCCTTGTGTTTCTCCCACATTAATGACAGCACGAAAGCAACCTTCCCTCTGGGTGCCCCCTGCAATGGAGAATGTAAACTGCAGGGACAGCCTGTAGATTTTAAAGATCTCCCAGTAAAGGACAGTTCAAAGGGATTCCTCTGGGAACCTGTCTATCACTTACTTTCAAACAATATTTTGGTATTGTCAGGCAACAAAGTGATACATTTTTTCCAGAGTTAAGACAGGAACATTCTGCCTTTGCTGCTTCATTCCTTCATGGACCTCTGTTTCTGGATCTTAATGGTTACAATGCGGACACTGTGCACATGCATTTTCTGTGTCTCAATTTCTCCCTCTGTAAAATGGGGGACAGTAACATCTCCTCGCTTTACTGGGATGTTATGGTGGTAAATTTATTAATATTTGTGAGACATTCACATATGATGGTGATGATGCTAATAGAAAAGCCTATAGATCAATAATACTGTACACAAGTATACATGCATGTACACAGACCGATTTTCCCATCTTGCTTTTAGGAGGGCTTAGACCACCTGAGCCTGCACTTATTCTCAATACACAACAGGAGAAATCAGTTCAAGCCAGTCCTTGATAATCCAATGAGTGTCTTTGCCTGTTGAATTTGTCCCAGGTTCCCTCTAGGGAATTCTTCTCCAGCCTCACTCTGCGATGTAATTGGGCTCTGCACGAGACAGCAATATAACCACAGCCTGCTACATGTCAGCATCACTCCACAATGTTAGAGTAGATTTTTAAAATATCCCATTTTAATAAAACTCCAGTCTCTTAAATCCACATTAAGCATATGGTGCAACCATGTGTTGGCTACATTCTTCCCCTGCAAACCTAATGTCTGTCCCCTTGTTTATATCCCACATCTGTGGAAACATAAATCCTACTTAAAGTAAATTGTCAAGAGTAATTACCTGAACATATGTGAGATATGTAAAAACTAAAGCTAAACATGCCCATTCTATCCCCCGAAGCGTGCAGGCTGTAGTTCCATCAGCCATCCGAGGTATCACAAGAAAGCCAAGGGCAAATGAACTGACAAGTACTGGAGGACAATATGTATCCCAGGTTGCAGTGCTTTGAAGACAACCAACCTCAAAATCCAGCCAAATGGAGGGCCTGACTGCACAGCTAAGAGCCAGTCACGGTGAGGGCAGACTGGCAGTAAACTCCTTTCACACAGCTCTGCTAATGCATCTCAATCCTGACCCGCAATACCTTTTATCATCCCAGACACATGTTGCCCACACAGCTTGGCCTGAACCACTCACTTCGCCGGTTATTCCAGGCC